GAGCATTCACTTTTTTCCTATGTATAATGCAGTGATCTGCACTGCGGGGCAAAAAATAAAAGTGAACTCCCCCGCTACCTTTCAAGCAGTTTCAATCAATCAATCAATCTAAACAACATGTCAAAACTTCTTTAATTTAAAAAATTTTTTCCCTTTCTCTTCTTCTTCTTCTTCTTCTTAAAGTCTATTTAAACAAATGAACAGTCCCTTATCTTTATCTTTACGATTAACTTTTATGTTAAATGATAATTGTGAGTGATCTGACAAGTGAGGCCTGAGGTGATGAACTTTTAGATATTGAATATTTTTCAGAATGTCCATCCTCGGGAACCCAGGGGTAATCTTCTGTCGTTCGTTCCTCACTCTGAGTGAGGAACGAACGACAGAAGATTACCCCTGGGTTCCCGAGGATGCAGAATGTCCTGATAGCTCTATCAACAACTTACCTCTAGAATCAGGTGTAGCTATGTCCTGTGATTGTCTTTTAACTTGAATATCAGGTAAATAATCCTCTGGCAGTGATTCTAGATATGTATGGCCATTATCATCTAGGATAAATTCCTGCATCGTACCGGTATGTGCATTAAAATCCCCTTGAATAACAACATCCCCTTTTCTTGATAAGTCAGCAATATCATCTTCTAATTGAGATGTGTAATCCTCATTTTTTGGATTTCTCATATATTTCTGGGCTGAAGTATATAGTTCCTAAGTAAATGTCTTTTCTGATGTTGAAAAATTTCTTGTCTAATTTGCACCATAATGCATTCTCATTATTTTTCCTAACTATTGTTACTCCTTTAGTTATTGAGTTTTTTATATATACTGATATGCCTCCATGGGCTTTGTTTCCCGATCTTATTCYATGTTTTGAATAACGTTTGAATGACATCATATCTAAATCACTTCCTGGCCCCGAATGGGTTTCTAGATATCATGTCTTTCAATGACATTTTGAACTTCATGTATATATAGGTGAAAATGGAGTGAATACCCCGCTATGTCCCCGGGTATTCCTCAGGGGGGGGGGGGGGGGGGGGATGCGGGGCATATCAAATGACTGGTGCATTATATTAAGACAGTATAACGAATACACCGTACAAAATACACTATCTTCGTCCAGCTGATCAACATACAAAATTTATGTCGTAGATATAATAGAGTAAAACTAGAGACTTAGTAAAGGAAGAATCGAAATCCAATTGTGTCAAATAAATGAGGCAAATTGACATGCAATCATTCATGCAAAGAGAGTGAAAATCTACAGTACATAGTCGTTTGACTTACACAAGGCCACTTGCGTTCTCCTGTCACTTTGTTGTAGTAATACAGAGTCTGTCCTGATTTACACTTGCATTCTATCCATTTAGCATCCATCTTGTTTGTAAAAGGAATAATAAACCCCTAGAAATAGAGTGAAATCACACAATAACACAACAAACWCAWCAGACCAACACGCTACAAAATACCAACTTCTACCAGGCGTTACTCGACAGTCTGACCGAAATGGACTCTGGATTTGGCGGGAATGTTAAGCCGCTAATTTTTTTTTTTTTTAAAGCTAATTTTTCGCTTGCGCAGGCGACGCGATTTTCTCAAAATGTGGCTAAAGGAGCGAAAATGCTGTTTTGATAAAAAAATCCTCACAAACACTTATTTGAATCTCCATTAAGAGGTATGTGTACAAAAACAGATCAAATGCGATTAGTTAGATATTCAGCTTCAATCGTAGCCGAAAATGGCGTCGCCTGCGCAAGCGAAAAATCACTCGTTTAGCCGCGGCTTTTAGGTGAAGTGGAATAACGAATATTGAATTTAAGGATAATATAAAAATTAGGTAACACCTAATAGCGGAGCTCCAATAGCAATATAGAAGCTGAAAATGATTATCTAGTACTGCTATTTCAAAGGTAGATGCTCCGTTCTAAAAAGGAATATGAGTTACAACAGTTTTGTTGACATGCGAACAGATATTATAAAGAGTATGTTTATGAGAATTTAGTTCGTACTAATATTGAGCTGCAGCTTTACGGTGAAGTGGAATAACATGGAATAACAAATAATGAATTAAAGGATATTTAGTATAATTTCATAATTGAATATCATAATTCTAGCGCGCTGATTGGTCGAATTTGACGCTTCAATGAGCGATGTTCACCTATAGGTGAATATTGGATTTTTTCGCAAAATGGCGTCATCAGCGAGTCGTTGTTGGATTAAAAAATTGGATTAAAAAAATTGGATTAAACCTTTTTACAGGTTAGTTTTGTTTATTTAATGATAAAAACATTGTCTAAAACTACTTTTTTATTTATCGTTTTACGTCAAACAGGTTGAAATTTGTAGGTTTTCGCCTGGTTTGTTTACATTTTACTCGATACTTTTTTTGACAGAATGGTTTCAACAACAGTCTGAATTCACTGTCAGCTTTGAAGATATGGATACAAGTGAATTAAACAAGTGTCTATCAAAGTTTTACGTGTCCATAAGGACGAAGGATGGCAATTATTACAAGAAGACGACTCTGCTGTCAATTCGAGCGGCCCTCGACCGCCATCTTCAATCCCCGCCATATAACATTTCACGAAAATGCAGTAGTTCTTTTTTCTCTATTTTTATGAATATTTACTTATGAAATTATACTAAAGGGTGAGCCCCGAGGTGAATAATTGTTAAATAT